TGCTGGGACGGAGATAAAATTGATTTGCAGAGATGTTGCAAGTGCGGAGTTAAAATTTTTTCAAACATTTTAGGAATAGCGGATAACTTAGATACACCTCTATAATTATTTGCATCAGACTTGCTACCTTTCTTATGGAGCGGAATAATAAAAGATTCCTTCCAGATGGGGGGAAGCATGAAGAGTTAATGGATAGGGTGAATAGTTTAAGCAAGGGTCCACACAGAGCGGCGGCACAGTACCTAAGTACACAGCCGGGAACTCCGTCGGGACCTGGTGAAAACACCGGCTTAACTAGTCGAAGATCATGAAGCAGTGAGCTTTCATTTAACAAAGGGCTGAAGATGCCATTCGACCTTGGTAAACTGTATGGATACGGCTGACCAGAGTAGGTTTCATGAGAATAGGTTGTTTGGAAAAATTTGGCAAAAAAGATCGGCAATTGCCTGATCATTGTTTGCTGACATATTGAAAAAAGATAACGAGGATGGATGTGCGGACGTTCTACGCTTACTATTTACGAAGCTGTAAAACTGTTTAGGGTCCTGTGAAAATCATCGTATCCTGCATCGAGATAGGTAGTTTTTATAGCATTGAGCATTAAGAACGGAGAAATTTGACCGAGCTATTACATAGTGAGAAAGAGAAGAGGGAGAACCAACTTCTCGAAATTTTTTATAAAGTCTTGATTTTAAACTTTTTAGACTGGTCCCCCCGAAGTGGGACACAAGATTCAAAAAATGTGTCAAGTACATTGTAAAAAATGTTTGTGCCTTTCATAACGTCAGTGCACAAGTACAGAGCGGACCAATCAAAATCCCTAATAAGGTTATTAAGCTTCGTAATCTCGGCTTTACGAAAGCAGCGGACACGTTCAGATAGCCTATCCATTCGATCCAATACAGTAGGGCCAATATCGACTGACACTTCGAATGTAGGATGGTAGGAGTCTTCAGGTATACTGAGCGGAAGGGCTCGGGTTAACAACGCTATGGTCGGATCCGAGACAAAGCACAGATCAAGCAATCGACCCAAGGAATTTTTCACATGGTTGACTTGAGACAGGGATAGGTCTAGCAAGCCGTCGATAAAGTCATGTCGTGACATGGGCACAAGGTTATTAGACTCGTTTACCAAAGACCAAACAGTACCTGCCAAATTGAAATCACCAAGAACTATCATATGATCTTTATCTGATAGCGAGGAAGAAACAGTTTTTAAAGCGGACAGGTGATGCTCGTATATTAAGATATCCGAGGAAGGTGGAATATACGAGCAAGTAATGAAAATGGAAAAGCCTGGGAGAATCAGTTTTACGCACAGGAATTCCAGGTCTTGTTGAACCTGGACCATGAAATGTTCCGACGTGAAGTTTGAGTCCACTGCAATAAGGACGCCACCTCCACGTCGAGACGAACGGTCATTTCTAAAAATTGTGTACCGACCTGCCAAAACTTCGGAACTAAGGATGTCCGGCTTTAACCAGGTCTCGGGGAACACAATAACGTGGGACGAGAATGCTAGACTCTCAGAGGAAAGAGTGCTGAGCTTACTACGTAAGCCTCTAGCATTCTGGTAGGTAACTACAAGAGAGGAAGTTAGTTTTTTGGATGGTTGGAAGTAGAGGTGGAAGATGAGGATGGAGATGGAGCACTGGTCTGAATGCTAGGAAGAGTAATGGGGGACCTATTCTTTTTCTTAGCCTTAAACTCTTTAACCACCAAATGCTCCGGCCAAAACTTGGCGGAACAAATGGTTTCAAATTGAGTTGACGAGACGCTTATCTTGAAGGAATATATCTCCCTGGCGTAAGAAAAGTTAAATTTTTCCACCTTTAAGACGACGGCTTTTATTTTGCTTTGTATAAAAGCGGTCACATCATTGGATGTGAGGTCAGGGGCTAGCCGCGAGACAAAAACTTGTCGCTTTGGTGGGACTCCCACCAGTGGTTTTGGCACCACAGGCCTAGTACCTGTGATGGCAGTATCCGGTGGTCCTGGACATCTATTAGCTGGTAGGAGCGAAACTGAGGGAATAGTTAAGGGGTTGGGTGCGGACTCGATGGACACGGACTCTACAGACATTTCCAACTGCATACTCTCCGAAGTGACGCATTCGGCTCCCGAATCTGCATCACCAGCAGCGATCGTTGCCCTTGGAGTAGCAAACGTAATCAACTTCTGCACTAAGGGAGTGGTCGGAGTAAGTTTTTCAGATGCCGGTGGACATGAGGCAGTCGGCACTTGCAAGTCCCGAGGAGTCGACTTCTTGCGCCTCGGAGACTCAGCCAGCAGCTGTAAGCTGCTGAACTGAGTGGTAATGGCCAAGAGCCGATCATATTGCTGTTTAAAGCCTACGATCAGCTCTTTGAAGCCACTCCGCGTCTGCCTCATGAACGAACGCATGTCGTTTTCCACAGCACGGCATTCCTCACAACTATAATGTAGGCCGTTGTTTTGGGAAATGGCATCTCCTACACGGCCCGAGATCCCTACACAGCAGGGGATATTGGGCTGGTCATGGGTGATCTGCTTCTTGCAGGTTTTTTTGGCACAGACGACAGAAAATTCCATATTTATGTCTTTTATTTTTTTTACTTCGGGAAAAAAAGTTCAAAACAAATATCAATCAGACCACTGTGCAGAGCAAATGCTTAGAGCAATGCTTAAAGCGAAATCGGTAAAAGATGAGAGAGGAGAGTGGTTGCAGCAACAGCTTATAGGTGAGAGCGTTACTGCACAAAAAGTTACAAGAGCGAGAGCGAAAATATATTTTAAAATATTTTACCTTCGAATGATAAAAGCAGCCTGGAACTCACTCCGACTGGTTACAACAAATTTGCTTGGTAACAGCAAGAGTGATGATTACGTTAATATCGTTCAAGACCTAATTGAGAATTATGAAAAAATTTGAGCCACTCCCACTTAGACTTTTTTCCGACAAAACTAGGGGACGTTAGTGATGAACACGGAGAGAGATTTCACCAACAATTGAAAGCTATGGAGCGACGGTATCAATGTGTTTGCAATGAGAATGTTGGGCGACTATGTGTGAACTCTGATTAGGGAATCTGATTCGAATTATAAACTTGTAGCAACAAGACCCGCAACCTTCCAAACAGTATTTTTTGTCTAGTTTTTTTTTTCATTTTTTTAGGTATGGTTAGCGAATTATAGCACCACCGTCTCTCCATAGATTTTAATGAACAATACCTTAAACGACGGCTAATTAATGCGGCTATCTAAAACAAAAAATGTATGCAAAGAAATATTTTTTTTCGACTTTTTCTGAGTTTTTAAAGTCAAACTTTCGGGGAAAAATACCGCAAAAAAAATGATGAAATTTGTATTTGGAAGCTTAATATCTTTCAGGCGTTAAGCTGCAGGTACAAAGTGGCTGGGTCGGATTTAAAGCTGCATTTGTCAGCTTTTTATACCCGTACTCAAAAAAAGAGTTAAGGGGTATATTGTATTTGTGGTAAAAGTGGATGTGTGTAACGCAGAGAAGGTAACGTTTCCGACCCCATATAAAGTATATATCTTCTTGATCAGCATCAATAGCCGAGTCGATATAGCCATGTCCGTCTGTCCGTCTTGATGAGCGCCTAGATCTCAGAGACTATAAAAGCTAGAGAAACCAAATTTGGTTTCCAGACTTATGTGATATCACACTGCTACAAGGTATTGAGAATCCCCCCCGCGCGGCAGTGCGAGCGTGCTTCGCCCCCCCCCCTTCCGCGACACCCCCCCCCCCCCCCCCGCCCCCGCCGCCGGCCCGCCCCCCCCCCCCCCACCCCGACAAAAGAAAGGACAGAAAAATGTCTGGCACAGTTTTTAAGAATCCCCCCGCGCGCCCCCCCCAGAAAAAAAAATTTTACATGTTTTATAAAACTAAAAACATGTAAATTATAGATGACCATTCCTATCCCCCCCCCCCCCCGGGGAGCCGAATGAATTCGTATAATATGATCCGATCATAATTGATTCGCCAGTCTGGTAGATATGGTTTTTCTTTTTATTTTTTTTTTTTTTTTTTTTTTTACGGGGGGGGGGGGCCCTGGATCACGCGCCCCCCGCCGCCCGCGCGGTCGACTCGGTATGTGATTATATATACTGGGGCAGGAAATTTTCCTTCTCTGCGTTACACACATCCACTTTTACCACAAATCTAATATACCCCTTAACTCTTTTTGAGTACGGGTATAAAAAGTTTTTGTAATAGCTAACCCTGAACTTTGAGTGGGTATTCTTCCAACACCATCTCCGTCCCCTTCACCTTCTGTCTCAAAAAACTAAATTCTCCTTTTCCTCTGAAGACAAGCTATCAGAATGTACGTGGCGTGTACAGCAAGCTCAACAAGTTTTATGCCAATAGTGGATATCGGGTCAAGCAGCTCGACGAGAGTTCGACTGTGGTTGCAGTTGCTCGTATCGGAAAGGAATGCGCACAGCGAACTTAAATTTTTTTTCGTCATCTCTAATAAGGGCCTTTTCTAGGCATTCAATAGGTTACTGTACAAATTATTTGCTCATTGTTGCACGTGTTCCTTCTCCAAAATTTTTTCAAAAACTATGTTCGTGTGAGCACTAGAGTGCACTACCGAACACATTTGCACTAACACACAAGATAGAGCAAGTTCTATTACGTCGAAAAATTCGACGAACCAAAAACAAAGTTACGAACAAGTTTAGTCGAATTTTCGGCGAGCACAACATGTTTGCATGTGGTCGGGTATGTTTAGAGATGAATAATACTTTACAAAATACTTGAACAAATTTTGTTGAGATAAATTCAAAACTGAGACACTAGTTCGCATAGAAATAGACGAACACATTCTTGTCATCCTGATCAAGAATGTTCACACATATTTAAATACTTTTTGAAGTCGAAGATGATTTGTTTTGTCGGTTACAAACTTCTGACAAATTTTGACGCTTTTTAACCCATAAAAAAATATTAACTTTGTAAAGATTTTCTAATATATATATTTTTCGTTCCAGTTTAATTTTTTCCGCTTTTGTGGCAGTACTCAATGTGGTCGAATACTTTTTCAAACGGATTACGGATTCTGATCCCGAACTATTTTACCTCGCCCGTAAGCTCAGAAAATACTAAATAACATATATTACAAATAATAACAATTAAACTAGTCAACAAAATCTGACATTAACTTGGAGCTACAAAATATATATAACATCGATTTTTGTATGGTAAATCATAATATCCAGCTCCTCGGAATCGAAAAATTACGGTCGAACTTCATATAACAAAAAAGGGGCAGGAATTTTTCGCTTGAGTATTCAGCAACAAGGGCGGAATCCACAGATTTATATCGATAGTTGCCTATCGTGTCCGTGTGTGGACTGAGACACTAACCATACAGTATATAGATGGCTCCCAGGCGCTTCGGCTCTGTGAGGCTGAGACATTCGGGTCGGGAGCCAGGCCATTCGGGTCGGGAGCTGGGCCGTTCGGCATGTATGACTCATGTCGGGAAGCGAAAGCAAGCTGAGCATTGCAAATGTATGTGTGTAAACAGACACAAAATTTTGTATCAATTCTGATTTTCCGAAACCGTTTTGAGTTTGTTTTGAGTTTCGTTTCCAGGTTACGTAAATGTGTGTGTGCCATGTATTCACACATACTGTGCTTGTGTGTGGGCTGTACAATTTTTGACCACTTGAATTGGTTTTTCGTTTTGTTTTGAGGGCTGATGTGATGTAGCGACCTGTGCTGACCTGCCGCAATATAACTGAGAAATGGTCAGAGTGGGTGGGGTTGGGAAATAAATACAATATATAAAAATAAAGGATGTTATTTCTGCTCATATCTCCTAAACTAAAATTATCTTGAAAATTAGATTCGCTAAAGCTTTGGAAAATGTTCTACTAGATCTGTACATTTATTTTATTCAAAGCGTTCATAAAATATTTTTTAATTTTGCAACCTCTTTTTGGCTGAGTCTCCACTGAAATAAACACAATGCAAACAAATAACAACTTTAAAACCAAACTCGACCTATTCAGGGCCTGATCAACCCTCAACCGGGCCCTGGGCAACCATCAATCTGGGGCCCTCCTTTATTTTGTATTTTTCTCAGTGGCTATTATATTTTTTATTCATTATTTGGAGTTTTGTTTTTTCAACAACATTTTTCTGTTATCCCTAGGGGGGCCCTAGGCAACTGCTAATCCGGCCCTGGACCTATTCCCGTCGTCAGACTTCATATTTTGTTGGCGTATTCTGTCGCTCGACTCGACGCGGGTCTGAAGCCAAAAGCAGAGGCAAAGGCTAACCTTAAAGAGAATGGAAGAAATAATGAACGCTTTGAATAAAATAAATGTACACATCTAGTAGAACATTTTCCAGAGCTTTGGCGAATCTAATTCAAGATAATTTTAGTTTAGGAGATATGAGCAGAGATAACATCCTTTATTTTTATATATTGTATTTATTTCCCACCCCCACCCACTCTGACCATTCCTCAGTTATATTGCGGCAGGTCAGCACAGGTCGCTACATCACATCAGCCCTCAAAACAAAACGAAAAACCAATTCAGGCGGCCAAAAATTGTAGAGCCCACACACAAGCACAGTATGTGTGAATACATGGCACACACACATTTACGTAAACTGAAATCTCGAACAAAGTCGGTTTCGGCAGCTAAAAATTATTCCATGCATACAATCATATATTTTGGAGTGTTACACGTACACAGCACATGCATGCTTGCTGCCAGTCGGCTCGTGTGGCGTCATGAGCCGAACGCGGCCATTCCCAGATCCGAAGATCTGGGAACATACGCTGCAAACTCAGCTGCGCCCCTTCGTTGTAGGAACTGGCACATCTATATACTGTATGGTTAGTGACCTGGATTAGGGATGGGTATCGATATTGTATCGATACTTAAATGCGATATTTTAGTTCAAAACGATATGATATTCAAAGTGATATTTGCCGAAATCATCGATATTTCTTACAATATATTGAACAATCTTTGTCGGCGCGGAGAAAAAAGTTTTGAGTTTAACGTCTTAATTCGACTGCATATAGATGAAATCAGAGAAAAATGGATCTCATCTCAGATTTTAGTTATTTTTTCTTCATCTTATATTTAGGTAGTGCCCACTTGCACTAACCATACAGAATATATGTAGATGTGCCAGTTCATACGAATGTGGCTCAGCTGAATGTTTTGTTCCTGTATACACTTATGGACAAAATAATATGTGTGCTTTACTTTTCTTTTTTAAATTTGTATTTCAAATTAAAATCTTCTCTAATGTCAACCAATCAAAGTTTTTTCAAAACTAATATTAATTTTTCTTAAACAAAAAGTAAAAACAGTTTAATTTACAACAAAATTAAATATTTCCTTAAATCCGCCAATTTTGGCTGGACCCAATATTAGGTGTCTGAAGAATAATGTTTAAATTGAATCGATATTTTACTATTTGACAAAAAGACTTTCCGACCTCTTTTTTGAATTCACCCCAGTGATTCTAGATGGAATTAAGGTCCGGGGATTGACTTTGCCAGCCAAGAACATCCACACTTTGCTCTCGGAACCAATTCCGTACTAGTCGACAGGCGTGCTTCAAGTCATTATCCTTCTGGAACTTCCATAAAAGTGGCATATTATCCTTGGCATATGGTAGCATCACCGTCTCCAATAGATCTTTGTATACGAATCTGTCCATTATTCCGTCAATACGATGAATCGGACCAACACCATACAATAAAAAGCAGCCCCATACCTTTAGGCTACCACCTCCATGTTTCATAATTTTATATATGTACCTGGAATCAAATTCTTTGCCTTTCGGACGACGAACATTCCTTTTGGCATCATTTCCAAATAAATTTATCTTGGTTTCGTCACTCCAGATGATATTACGCCATTTTTGTACACCCTCCGGTCCGCACCAGGTTCTACGATCTAGTGAAAATTTTGTCCTCATCTGTAAATTTTGCCTACCGAAGCAAAGGAACCCTGCGAGCAATCCTACCTGGTAGGTTTGCTATCGCCGAACGGTCCGTGATGACACAATATTCCCAACTTCGTTGGCAATCGTCCTGGAAGACTTGACCAACTAAACCATTAAACAACTGAACCGAGTTTCACCTATTTTTTCCGGTTTTAAGGCATTGGTTACGAACTTTTGAGATAGTTTCATTAACCTGGCAATGGATTTATAAGTTTATCCTTCATCTCGGAGTCGTCGAATGAGCCTTCTCTCCTCCGCACTGCATTGACGCCCTCGGCCCATCTATTACAATTTTAATGACTGTTTAGTCCCAAATTAGTTATATATTCCTAATACCTTACCTTCTGAAACCAAATAGTTATCTTGATAACCTACATTTTAATGTTTTGCTTCATATACCTATTTTATTGACTAGCCGAATTTTCCGTCTAATAGCCATATGACATTAGACTTAGACAATTTTGCTGCGTAGAGAGGGATAGCATGAGAGACAGAATGGAACATTATTGTTCGTAGCCGTCTCTAGACGAGTCTAATGGCTTTCAGTCGAATAACTAAGGCACTACTTGATACAAAATGATGTTTTCCAGCTAAACATAGCCACCAAGCCAGTAAAATTGTATCCGCAGAGTAAAATTTTCGAGCTCAACTGGACAGCCAGCTTGACGCGTATAGTTCTCTCGCTCTGACTCCAGACATTTCCCATAAGTCCAGCTAGTAAGTTAGCAAAGTCTAATGTCATATGGCTATTAGCCAATCCACAAATTTTCCCCGAAAGCTAATTAAATCCGGGAATTCCCCCAATTCCCACCGAAACAGTGTGACGATATTAAAAAAGGATAGTTTCCTTAAGCCTAGTACTCAGATCGAAAAAAACACCTCGCGAACAGAATCAGGGTTGATATTCGTATGAAACCGATAAGAACTTTTTTACGGCAAAAACTGTTTTCTAGGCTCTGTACGGAGTCAGTGCTCAGATCAAAAAACAAAAAGGTCGGTATATACTGGAAAAGTATCCGAAGTATATGCTTGTTTTTTTGGTATGTTTCGACCCACCTCGAAAAAGATATCAATTTGATATAATTTGCCAGCAAACACGAAGCAAACATAGCAATAAGAGAACAAAAAACCAAATGAAATATTTTAATAATGAAGAAAAATAGAATCTAGCTAATGCAGTATTATATGAATGACAATTATATGGATATTATAATTTATTATTTTTATTAATTTTCATAAATATAAAAAATATATTTTTTTTCAAAACATTTTTTCTTCACGGTGTCCGGCACGGGAGGCGTCACCATCTGCTGCTGCTGATAGTCAGACACATTATCTTGCCAATAAAATATTGGGGAGCCCAGGATATGGCTGGGGAAGAGCGGCCCCAGCCGAAGAAGTGCATTTTATTAACTTTTAACAAAACCAAGCAGCGGTCTGAGCAGTGTAACCGTTCGGAATGCAGTGCACACCTCTGGTCACACACAGGCCGCTCGAAGAATATATGACATTTGTTTGCTGGCAAACAGTTTTTGGATCTGAGTACTAGGCTTATAAAATGTTATGTCTATATCGATTTAAACCGATATCTAAAAAAAAACATCTTTACACCTATTATATTGTCCATAATTTCATATACTGTTTGGTTTATGACACTATTATACTTTTATACACATACTAAAAAAAAAAACTAATATAACAACAAAAATATATAGCTAATTAATACCGATTTTATCGATATTCAAGGCGATATGACGATATTAATTACGATATGATATCTTCGATATGATATTCTATGTGATATCTTGTTTTATATCAATATCGATATTTGCTTGACGATACCACTAACCATACAGTATACTGTATGGTTAGTGACGATACCCAACCCTACTCCAGGGCCCTTTCCTTTCCTAAGCGTGTGTGTCACTACCACATACTTCTGAGGGTTCACACTGATATTTCACCTACATGCCCAGCTCTCAAACCTTTTAAGGTACCGCTGGAGGTCGTCAACGCAGTTGGCACTTGACAGGTCTAACGTGTCGTCGGCCAATGTGGCAAGTTTCACATCGATTGGCTGGGACGTATTGTCAACGCTATTCTTAG